GCCCGGGCGCCCAGGGTCAGGCGGCGCCCGCGGGCCGGAGGGCGCGCGCGTGGGGGCGGGGAGGGCCCCGGAGACGCCGCGCGCCGCGCCCGGAGCCCGGCCTGGGTTGTCCCCGCCGCGCGCGAGGGCCGCCGCCGCCGCCGCACAAAAATGTCGGCGGGCGAAAAAAGTAACCCTTGCGTCGCCGCCGCCGCCCTCCCCCTCCACTCCTCCCCCGCCCTTTCCTCCCTCCCTCCTTCCCCGGCTCCGCGCGGCGGCGGCGGCGGCGGCGGCGCGGGCGGTGCTTCTTTTTTAAAGCGGCCCCACCAAGCCCTGGCTCTGCCCCTCTCCAGGCAGCGCTGGAGAGCGCCGGCCGTGCACGGCTCCCGGCGGGCCCGGGCGGCCCGGAGGGGGATCTGCACGGCCGCCATGGGCCTGCGGACGAATATTCCCCTTTAAGCCTGGCGTCGCGCCCCCCCCTCCCCAAGCCAGGCGCTTACCGGTTCGCTTTGCGCCCTCCTCCTCCTCCCGAAAACGGGACTCCGGCGCTCCCACAATGCACCGGGCGCGGCCGGGCTCCCTTAAGCGTCGCCTGAATAAAAATGCCGCTCCCGGCGGCGGCGGCGCGGAGGGCGGGAGGGCCCGGGCCGCGCCTGGGCGCCGCAGGGGCTCGGCCTGGCTCGGCTGGCCCCTGCCGGGAACCGGGCCGCCGCGCTCCGCCGTGCGCCGCGCGCGAGGGGCCTTTAAGGGCCGGCTACCGCCCTTTAAGAGGCGGCGGGCCGCGGCCGGAGCGGCTCGGTGGCTGCGTGCGGCCCGGGAAGGGGGCGGGGGCGATGTGCAGGCCCGAGCGCGGCAATGATTGGTCTCGGGGGAGGGGTGGGGGGTTGCAAACCCGAGGAGCGGTGGCATCCGTTGCATGATGCAAAAAGGATTGATTTCAAAAGTTGCGAGTTGCACTGGCAGCAGCCTTTGGCGCCCGGGCCACCACCTACTTTTCCTCGACCCGCCGGAAGGGCCGGGAATGTTTTCCAAAACCTGGCCGGGCTCCACCGCGCTACACCCCTGCGGGACGCTGTACCTGCTCCCCGAGCGCCGCCGTCGTTTCGTGCTGGGAGACAATGACCGTGGAAACACTTTGAAAAAGAGTAGGAGCAGAGGAAAAGCCGCCTCTGACACGAGGAAAGATTTTTTTAAAACATAAACGGCGCGTCTGATTAGTAGTGACTTCTGTCCTCTCTCCTTTCTATTGTTTAGCCTGGGCTCGGGAGCTAACGTGAGCCTTAGTGGATGTGCCGCCATCCCGCAAAGTTTCTTGAATGTTCAACGTGCTTGGTAGGGAGTCCGAGCTCAAGGTTCCTCGGTTACATTGTTTGCTCTTCACATGTCCAAGTAAACATGGCAGCCTAATACTGTGTGTGTTTGAATTAACACTGATAGAAGAGCTTCCGCATGTGAAAGTGCTTTCTTCAGGTTTTCGACTCTCTAATACATTGCTGATTAAAATAAAGCAAAAACGCTTTCCCAATACTACGTCTTTTAGGGCTTCCCTCAAAACCAAGGAGTGTGGAGGAACGCCGACCAAACTTTTCTAGGGTGGTTCAGCATTTTCTAAATGGATTTGGGGGCAGGAATGTTTTTGTCACCGAAAGGGGCTTTATGTTTGGCATCAGGTTTGCAGGCTATGCAGATGCCCTTTTCATTCTTAAAATTTCTGCTTGACGAGTCCTCAGGGTCTTATTCTAGGTGAGGATACAGAAGTGATGTAACCTAGCAGACCGCCTGATGCAGGCTTTTCCGCTCTGTGGTTTTTTTTTTTTTTTTTTTTTTTCTCTGTACCTCTACAGTAAGTTAGGAAAGCATAGAGTAGCCTGGATTCTCTGATGTGAGTGGTTGGACTTCTGTAAGAATGGCACAACCCTGTGTTTGACAAAGCTGGATCTGCCTCTGAATCACCTGGGAAGATGCCTGTATACACAATCCCCAGGCAACTCTCCAGACCTCCTGAATCAGGGAAAGGGGATGCAGTATCTTTATTCCTCCCATCCTCTCCCTTTTGACATTAATTTTGTGAGTTCTTGTGGGGTTTTGGGTTTGTTTGTGAGGGTTTTTTTAGCAAGAAAAGTCACAACTTGAAAAAAAAAAAAAGGTTGGGGGGATTAGGGGCAAGGTGTACCTGAAGATGATGTGTCATGCTGGGGAGTTTGGTATTTATGGTAGTCAGCAGAGTTTGGCAGATCTGTTTTTTAAAAGTTGAGCTCTAAAAAAAGGCTGTACCACATCTGGGAGGATGCCCTCCCCCAGAGGGGAAAACGGGGCCATATCTCTAGGAGGTAATTGTAATAGTCAAGACTGAAGTTGAGGGGATTCGAAAGGAAGCGGCAGGACTGTAGACAAAAGAGTTGAGGGGATTTAACATGCGGTTGGAGGAAGGAGCATAAGATGACCCCCAGATTTCTAGTTTTGCGGGACTGGGTGGGTAGTAATCCTAACTGAAATAGCAACTATGGGAAGGCAAACAAGTTTAGGGGTGAGTTCAGCTTTGGAAATGTTCAATTTCAGGCACCTGCCAGATATTCTAGACTGAATGCAATTGGTCAAACTAGGGCTTGGCACTTGGGGTGGGGTGTGGGCTCTTGAGTCTGAGATGCAAATGTGGGATCATCAGCATGTAAATGGGGTTTAAAGCCTCGGAAAGAGGTGGGATTAACCAGGAAGGGGAGTTCAGGATGAAAGTGAAGGAGACCTTGGACAGAGCCCGGCGGGGCTTCCTAATGGAATGGCTGGGCGAGCTGGAGGCTGATCCCTGTGGACTCTGTGGGAGGCCAGCATCCTCAAAACCTACGCCTTCCCGCAGCACTCCCCACCCCCGGGTGTGGTGGTCTTAGCAGCTCCACGACAACTGGAGTCAAATTCTTCTGGGCAGAGGCTGAAGACTCTTCACTAAGCTAGGGATGCCTTCATTCCTATGGAGTCCGTCTCCATCCTTGGGGCCCGATAACCTACTGGATCTCTCCACCCCCCTTCTTTGCTCTAAATGCATGGCTCTCTGTGCTTCCCCCCAGTCGGCTTTTCTCCCCCCAGCCTTTTTCTGAGTCCTCCCCCGTGGAGCCATCAAAGCCCCATTCCACTGGGAGCCTTCTTCCCTGAGTTTTCAGGTCCTATGGGCTCCAACTAAAAGATGGTTCTCCTGGATTGCTTTACCTGGTGGACCCTTGTTAAAAAATACACATTTACCAGCCCTGCCCCAAAGATTGTATCTAGCTGGCATAATGGGTTGAGTCGGGAGAAAGAGTCTTTGACCAAACTTTAGTCAGGCTCCTGAAACTTCTAGCTAGGCCCATCTACCTGCTCCCTTGCAAAATCCCATTTTAGCAAGATCCCCTCCCCCACCCTCAATATCTAATTGGGTTCCCCACCCCCCACCATCCCCCAGGTGACGTCTGATCACCTTCCCCCCCCCCACCACCTGCCTTTAGCAAGAATCTTGTTAGGTCAGTTTAGCCAGAATCCCCCCCACCCCTGTTATTTCCTCTTAGTAATTTTCCACCCACGGGTCCTCACCCTGCTCCTTGACTATAAATTCCTCCTGCCCATGCTGTTCGGAGTTGAGCCCAGTCTCTCCCCCCACTGCAAAATTCTCTTTCGATGGTCCTGAGTAAAGTCTGCCTTACCATGTTCAACACATGTCATAAACTGTTTTCTTTAATAATAATTGTGTCCCCCACCGGAGATGTGTTGAAGTATTAACCCCTGGTACCAGTGAATGTGGCCTTATTTGGAAGGGTCTTTGCAAGTGTGATCAAGTTAAGATGAGGTCATGGTAGATTATTGTGGGCCTAAATCCAATGACTTACAAGAACAGGGTGATTTGGGGACAGAGACACACGGGAAAAGCCCATGTGAAGACTGGGGCAGAGATTGGAGTGAGGCACCTTCAAGCCAAGGAACGCCAAGGATTGCTTCTGGTCCCCAGAGGCGAGGAAGACCCTTCACTAGAGCCATCAGAGAGAGCACAGCCCTGCCAACACCTTGACTTGGGACTTCTGGTCTCCAGAACTGAGGGAGAATACATTTCTGTGTTCTGCATTAAGCTGCCCAGTGTTGCCATATTTGTCACGCAGCCCCAGGAAACTAATAGGGCTGGTTGGGGGCATATGTCTGGGGGGAAGGAGTACTAAGAATCCATGCTTTTAATGGGCTCCCCTGCTGATGCTGCGGGGGCAGTGGGCGTGGGGGGGCACTACTCTAAAGAATTCTGCTCTCTCAGACACTCAGAGGGACAGGAGATTGCCTGTTCTGCCTCCCACATTCTACGAGCTCCAAAGCAGTCTTGGGGACATGACTTGCCTCCTGTGCTGACTTTCTCACTTCGGGTGTTTACTATCCAGCATTACCACCATCTGTTGCCAGGACAGTCACTCCCCTACACTGCTTGCGTTGTGCCCGTTCAAAAGTGGCCCCTGATTTGTCATCATGGGGGGTAGGAGGACTCTCTGGTCATGACTAAGACCTGGTAGGTG